TAACTTCCTTTGTTTTAATATTAATAACTATTAGAACAGTATAAAGTTGTATTAATACAGAAGTGTTTTTTTATCCAACCCGTATCAACAAAAGTTTTAAATTACAGTGTTGATATTGGTGTAATTAAACATTTAAATTATGTCCGTTTTGTGATTATTTTAATTAAAACAAATTGTTATAAAATTTCACAAATTATATTCAATGATCAAGAATTTGTTTATAATAAACTTCTTCTATTTAACAGAAAAACAAATAGAGAGTTATATTTATTGTAATATATCTGTTTTTAAATTAATACGTTTAAAATTGTGTTTGTATATTGACATCTTTGTTGTTTGAACAGTTTAAAATAATATAATCAATAGCCAAAAAATCAACTGTAAAAGTCCAACAATTAAATAGATATAGAATGAACATTTAATTATATACATTTATTTTCAATATATAAGAGGTTAAACAAAAATATAATATGTAATTTAAATATTTATTTTGTTATTTAAATCTAACTCAACAATTTTTAATAAAATATAAATATTTGGAATTTTTGCACAATAAAGGAGAAGATGCACTTTTTTAATTTGAAAAAAATATATATTTTGTATATTTAAAACAATACAAATATAAAATAATTGTCAATTGATTATTTAAAGAAATATATTTCAATGACTTCACATAGTCAATAATGTTTATAAATAAATACAAATTAATGAATTTTAATTCAAAATAGAATTTAAATTACTTATTATATTCCCAAATAAATATCTTATTCAATTATCATGTTAACTTACACGTAAGTAACTGTTTTGTGTTTACAAACAAAAAAGATTATTTCAACTTATTTTAAACAAGTATAAGCTTATTTTTGTCGGATTGTTGATATTAAGCAGTTATCCTCCATTGAATTATTATTACTATGTATTTATTTAAACGGTTGTTGTTTTCACTTTTTTAATTTAAAGTGTGAGCTATTTTTTGGAACATAAGATATCGATTATATTAAAAACAATTCTTTAAAATCATAAGTTGATTAATTTCTTTGTTAAACCCAACATCTGTCGTTTACACGAAATCAAAAACATAATATGTTCACATGATAACTGTTACAGGCTGATTCTGTAAATTATATTATAATAATAATACAAATCAAATTAACACTAATTTATATAATTGATAATAGTCGAAATTTATCAAATAAAAAATAGTTGTTTATTTAATTGTTATGGGTTTAAAGAAAAATACTCAGAATTACTAATTTAACAAAATAAAAACGGTCACATTTCATTGATATTTACAATCAAATTTAAAACTAAAAAATGAATGTCTATTTAAATTATTATTAATTTCAGCAATGTAATAATAATGATTTATCTAAATAATTATTAAATTTGATTATTAATTATTTATTGTTTGAAATTTTTTTATTATGTTTTATTTAAAATAATACATTTAATGTCATTATTGTAACATTTAAAATGCAAACAAACAAACTTCTTTGTTTTTATTGTGTAACCAAGTTGTTTCTACATTTATTGTTTAAAATAACATAGTTTTTGTTAAAATGCTACCATTTAAATATTAAACAATTTTAATTATAATGTTACCTTTTTTACCAAAATTATTAAATATATATTATTTTTAATACAGTAAAACCTCCCAAGAGCGGTACCTCTGATAAGTGGGTTCTTTCAAGAAAGGGCATTTTAAGATTGAAACTAAAAATAGAGTTCTTTATCCAGAGGTTTTTAAGGTTTGATTGACTAAAAATGCCTGCTCTTGAGAGAACAAGTATACCACACTTTCCCATTCTTGAGAGGTTTTACTTTATATAGATATCAGAATGTTAAAAAATAGAATTTATTTGAATGTTTGTTTAAATTAATATAAGATGATATTTTATACAATTCACTATAAACTGTTATGCTAAAAGACGTAATACAAATTTGAGAATGTATCATTAAAGGTGTTTAGACATGCACAACTAACCAATGTTTAAAATGGTCATTTTTTAAAATTGTTTGATTGAATTTTTATAATAATTAATTACTATTTTTGATATTTTAAATAATATAAATAATAAAAAGCAAAATACAAACATATATAATTATAAATCTTATTTTTTGAAATTATAAAAAGAATGATTTGACATCATAATTTATAATACTTAATAATGCTATTAAAGGTTTCTTGAATTTATTTTTATATTAGCTTTTCCAAAACCAGTTTAATATTTGTGAAAATATAAGTCTTTTATCAAATGATATTATTGTCATTTTATTTTAATAATTTTTTGAATTTTTTTAATTATTCAAAAAATAAAAGTAAAAAATAAACAAAACTTCTACCGATTCATTCATTTTTTGTATATTCAAAAACTGTAATGCAACTTTTTATATAAAAATATATATTAACATTAAAATGTATCATTTGTTTTTGTACTGTTTTTTGTCAACAGAATTATCAATTATGTAACAAACTTAGGATTATTATTTAAACCATATTTTCAAATTATTTATAATTACATCAATAATATTAAACAATTGTCAAAAACACAACTAATATTCTCAATATTTTTACTTTTACTATATTTAAGTATATTTGTTTTTAAAATAAGATTTTATTATAATTATAACACCACAAACAATTTCAAAACAAAGAAAACAAATATAATCTGTTCCATTAATATTAAATATTTAAAATTACAAATGAAATAATTCATATAATTGTCATTTGTTAATTAATAGTCATTATATTAATTAAACATTTTGTTGTTCAGACAATTAAAGTCTGATTATTCATTATTTAAATGAATATAATTTAAGTCCTTAATTAAAAACGCATGTTCTGTTTAATATAAATGTAAAATATTAATTTATTAAAATTTTTAAAAATACAATAACATAACATAAAAGAGTTGAACCAAAAAATAATAATAAATGGTAAATTCAAAGATAATCAGAATTATGATTTATTCCATGTTTTGTTCCAAATAAGAATCAAGATTTTCATCTTTTGTAAAAGTGTGAATAAATGCCATGTAACATAGAGTTGTGGGTGATATTTTGTTTCTTCTGTTTTGCAGATAATTACCAGCCAATGAAAACAACCTCTCAGAAGGAGTACTTGAACACAAAATAGTTGAGTATTTAATGGCGATACGAGACAAATCACTCCATTCTTTTTTGTGATTAATCCAAAAGCTGGTAAAGGGTTCTTT